GCAAAACAGATGTATGTGCAAAATTTCAAACATTTTGAAAAAACTAAATTTGAAAATGCCCATCTAAAACTTTGAAATAGTCTGTAGGGGGCGCTAATGAGTCAACTGGAATCATTTAACTTTCAAATGACCTAAACCCTAGAGGTGAACAATGTATTCAAGTTTTGTGCAAATCAGACTTTGTTTGTGCAAACGGGAGCAAATTTAATGTTGTCAAAAACGGCCAAAAAAAGGTCACATTTTGCCACTCCGCTGCTCAAACAATGTTTCACTGATCAAAAATCCCTGAGGTCATTTTGAAGGTACATGTGTTGAGATGATGTGGAGCAATTTTGAGGCGAATCGGTGAAACGGCCGAGGAGGAGTCGCTTTCCAACCGACATGTATGAAAATGATTATTTTTCATTTTTCCATTTTGCAGTGAAATTTATGGGCTTCCTGTTTGTCAGAAGGCTTAGCCATAATAAAAAAAATTCAATGTTTTGACTTGAGGAACATGTGTTCCAAATTACATGGTTTTATGACAATTTTGACCTCGAACCCCTCCCATAGGCATTTTTAAATTGGCTGTTGTAGGTGGCGCTATAGAGCCAATTTCAAAATTTTAACTTTCAAAGGACCTAGGCCCAAGAGTTGAACCATGGATTCAAGTTTTGTGCAAATGAGACTTTGTTTGTGCAAATAGAAACAATTTTTCTATTGTCAAAAACTGAAAAAAAAATACGCCACTTTTTGGCGCTCTGCTGCTCGAACAACGTTTCACTGATCAAAATTCCCTGAAGTCATTTTGTTGGTACATATATTGATATGATGTGGAGCGATTTTGAGGCGAATCGGTGAAACGGCCGAGGCTGGTTTGATGTTTGTGTGAGGTGTACATTTGCAATGAATGGGGAGCGTTTCTCGTCGCCACGGCAACAGGGTAAAAAATAAGCCTTGGACCCTATTGACTTTTTGAATCAAGAGGGCAAAACAGATTTATGTGCAAAATTTCAAACATTTTGAAAAAACTAAATTTGAAAATGCCCATCTAAAACTTTGAAATAGTCTGTAGGGGGCGCTAATGTGTCAATGTGAATTTATTCACCTTCAAACGACCTAGACCCTAGAGTTGAACAATGTATTAAAGTTTTGTGCAAATCAGACTTTGTTTGTGCAAACGGGAGCAAATTTAATGTTGTCAAAAACGGCCGAAAAAATGTCACATTTTGCCGCTCCGCTGCTCAAACAATGTTTCACTGATCAAAAATCCCTGAGGTCATTTTGAAGGTACATGTGTTGAGATGATGTGGAGCGATTTTGAGGCGAATCGGTGAAACGGCCGAGGAGGAGTCGCTTTCCAACCGACATGTATGAAAATGATTGCGATCATTTTTCCATTTTGCAGTGAAATTTATGGGCTTCCTGTTTGTCAGGGGACGGGGCCATAATAATATTTTTTTCTTGTCTTGACTTGAGGAACATGTGTACCAAATCTCATGTTTCTACGACAAACTTGACCTCCGAAAAGTCCCATAGGGGTATTATTTTGGCTGTTGTAGGTGGCGCTGTTCTGTCATTTTTTGAGTCCCATAAAAATAAACACCAAAATATCAAATTTTTCGCCAGGTCTGATTTTTGGGCCAAAATTAACAACTTTTCATGCATATTCAGGGGGTCAAATTAAGGCTCAAAGTGCAGAAGAAAAAAGAAAGAAAGAAATAAATAAATAAATAAATAAATAAAAAAGGAATTTTTTGTGACTTGTCTCGAGCAAAAACAATATAGGTTTCAATGGCATGTGATTCATCATTTTAAAGCTTTTGAGTTTACGCACGCAACTGTCACGTTTTGGTGAGTGACGGGCGCTGACGCGTCCGTCACGCACCGCCACCATTTGTTTTCACCATTGTGAAAGCAATAGGCCCTTACCCCGTTCGGGGCTCGGGCCTAATTAAAGCCGCAAGCGGCGTCGAACGGCCCTCGCCGCACCGCGCGACTCCCCGCACCGCGCGCACCACCCCGTTCCACGCCACCCCGCACCACGCCGCCCTGCACCACGCCGTCCCGCATCACGCCGCCCCGCACCAAGCCGCAACGCGCCGCTCCACAACGCCCCGCACTACGCCGCACCACACCGTACCACGCAGCACCGCAAAAAGGACGTGGCGCTGCCGTGTGATGATTTGTTCCCGTAGCCATAGAAGAATGTTAGTCAAATTGTAATGAATATGATAAGTAGAGCTGGTTTGGCTCCCCATGTAAACTTTGACTCAGTCTTTAGGGGGCGCTAATGGGCCAATTTCAAATATTTCACTTTCACCTGACCTAAACCCTGGAGTTGAACAATGGATTCAAGTTTAATGCAAATCAGACTTTGTTTGTGCAAACGGGAAAAAAATTAATGTTGTCAGAAACGGCCAAAAAAACCCTCACATTTTGCCGCTCCGCTGCTCAAACAACGTTTCACTGATCAAAATTCCCTGAAGTCATTTTGAAGGTAAATGTGTTGAGATGATTTGGAACAATTTTGAGGCCAATCGGTGAAACGGCCGAGGAGGAGTCGCTTTCCAACCGACATGTATGAAAATGATTGGTTTTCATTTTTCCATTTTGCAATGAAATTTATGGGCTTCCTGTTTGTCAGAGGGCTTAGCCATAATAACATTTTTTCCATGTCTTGACTTGAGGAACATGTGTACCAAATTACATGGTTCTACGACAATTTTGACCTCGAACCCCTCCCATAGGCATTTTTAAATTGGCTGTTGTAGGTGGCGCTATAGAGCCAATTTCAAAATTTTAACTTTCAAATGACCTAGACCCAAGAGTTGAACCATGGATTCAAGTTTTGTGCAAATCAGACTTTGTTTGTGCAAACGGAAGCAATTTTTCTATTGTCAAAAACTGAAAAAAAATACGCCACTTTTTGGCGCTCTGCTGCTCAAACAACGTTTCACTGATCAAAATTCCCTGAAGTCATTTTGATGGTACATGTGTTGAGATGATGTGGAGCGATTTTGAGGCGAATCGGTGAAACGGCCGAGGCTGGTTTGATGTTTGTGTGAGGTGTACATTTGCAATGAATGGGGAGCGTTTCTCGTCGCCACGGCAACAGGGTAAAAAATAAGCCTTGGACCCTATTGACTTTTTGAATCAAGAGGGCAAAACAGATTTATGTGCAAAATTTCAAACATTTTGAAAAAACTAAATTTGAAAATGCCCATCTAAAACTTTGAAATAGTCTGTAGGGGGCGCTAATGTGTCAATTTGAATCATTTACCTTTCAAATGACCTAGACCCTAGAGTTGAACAATGTATTAAAGTTTTGTGCAAATCAGACTTTGTTTGTGCAAGAAGAAAAAAGAAAGAAAGAATATAAATAAATTAAAGCCGCATAGCCGGCGTCCGAACGGCCTCGCCGCCACCGTCGCAACTCCCCCGCACCGCGCGTCACCCCCCCGCAAACGCGGCACACACCCCTTGCCAAAGCCACCCCGCCCTACCACGCCGTGCCCGCATCACGCCGCCCGCACCAAGCCGCAACGTCGCCGCTCCACAACGCCCCGCACTACGCTCGACACACCGTACCACGCAGCACCGCTCAAAGGAATGTTGGGGGTAGGTGGCGCCGCCGTGTGATGATTTGTGTCCCGTAGCCATTAGACAGATTGGTTAGTCAATTGTAAAAGACGTATGATAAGTAGAGCTGGTTTGGCTCCCCATGAAAAACTTTATTCAGTCTGTTAGGGGGCGCTAATGGCCATTTTCAAATATTTTCCGTTCACTGACCTAAAACCCTGGAAGTTGAAACAATGGATTCAAAGGTTTAATGCACATCAGACTTTGTGTGTCCTAAACGGGAGAATGAAAAAATAAAATTAATTGGCGTTGTCAAAAACGGCAATAAATACCCTCAATTTTGCTGCTCCGCTGCTCAAAAACAACGTTTCACTGATCAAAATTCCGGAAGTAATTTTGTGAAGGGGTAAATGTGTTGAGTGATTTGGAACAAATTTGAGGCCCAATCGGTTGTGTGAAACGGCGGAGGAAGAGTAGCTTACCAACCGGACGTGTTATGAAATGATTGGTTTTCATTTTTCATTTTGCAATGAAATTTTTGGGCTTCCTGTTTGTCAGAGGGCTTAGCCATATCTAATTAATTTTTTCCATGACTTGACTTGAGGAACATGTGTTCCAAATTTACATGGTTCTATGACAATTGTGACCTCAAACTCCTCCCCAGAGGCATTTTTAAATTGGGCTGGGTGTAGGTGGCGCTATTAGGAGCAATTTCTAAATTTTAATTTCAAAGACCTAGACCCATGAAGTCTATCTGGATTCATAGTTTTGTGCAATCAGACTTTGTTTGTGCAAAACGGTAAGCAAGTTTTCTTCGTCAAAAACATGAAAAAAAATACGCCACTTTTTGGCGCTCTGCTGCTCAAAAAAATGTTTTCACTGGATCAAAAAATTCCCATGAATCATTTTGATGGTACATGTGTTGAGATGATGTGGAGCGATTTTTGAGGCAAATCGGTGAAAACTCGGCCGTGTGCTGGTTTGATGTTTGTGTGAGGGTGTTCATTGTGCAAGAATGGGGGAGGTTTCTTCGTCGCCCCACGGGCTAACTGGGTTAAAAATAAGCCTGGGACCAATTGGCTTTTTGAATCAAGAGGGCAAAACAGATGTTTGTGCAAAATTTCAAACATTTGAAAAAAACTAAATTTGAAAATGACCATCTAAAAAAAAACTTTGGAACTAGTCTGTAGGGGCGCTGAATGTGTCAATTCTGAAATTAATTACTTTCCAAATGACCTAGACCCTAGAGTTCAACAAATGTATTAAAGTTTTGTACAAATCAGGTCTTTGTTTGTTCAATACGGGATGAGCAAAATTTAAATGTTGTCAAAAACGGCCTAAAAAAGGTCACATTTGCCGCTCGCTGCTCAAACAATGTTTCACTGATCAAAAATCCCTGAGGTCATTGAAGGTACATGTGTTGAGATGATGTGGAGCGAATGAGGCGAATCGGTGAAACGGGCACGTCCCGAGGGAGGAAGTCGCTTTTTCCAACGACATGTATGAAAAACTTTTGCTGTTTATTGTTCATTTTGCAGGTGAATTTTATGGGCTTCCTGTTCTGTCAGAAGTGGGGCCATTAATAATATTTTTTTCTTGTCTTGACTTGAGGAACATGTGTACCAAATCTCATTTTTCTACGACAAACTTGACCTCCGAAAAGTCCCATAGGGGTATTATTTTGGCTGTTGTAGGTGGCGCTGTTCTTGTCCATTTTTTGGCAGTCTTAAAATAAACACCAAAATATCAAATTTTTCGCCAGGGGTATGATTTTTGGGCCAAAATTAACAATTTTCATGCATGTTCAGGGGGTCAAATTAAGGCTCAAAGTGCAGAAGAAAAAAAAGGAAAGAAAGAAAGAAAGAAATATAAATAATGAAAGCCGCAATGCGGCTCGATACGGCCATCGCCGCACCGCGCGCGCTTCCCGTCCGCTACGACTCCCCGCTCCGCTAGACTCCCCGCTCCGCTACGACTACCGCTCCGCTACAGACTCCCCGCTCGCTGCGACACCCCGGATCAGCTACAATTTCCTGCACCAGCTCCCTGCGACTAACAGCACTGGGCACCGCTACGACTCCCGCACCGCGCGCCGCTACGATGCCACCGCTTGCTACAACTCCTGCCCCGTGCGCTTCTACGACTCCGCCGCTCCGCTAGACTCCCAGCACACGACTACGACTCCCGGCACAGAGCTTCTGATTCCCCATACAGCGCAAACTCGCGGGTTTCCCCTTCCCGTGACTCCCTGCGTGACTCGCCCGCTCGCAGGTGGCGCCCGCCGCCGGCCATGATTTGCTTCCGTAGCCAGAGGCCAGATATTGTTGATATTGATTACGTTGGTTTGGCTCCCCATGTAAAAGCTTTCAGCTCTGGTATTTAGGGGGCTGCTCTAAAGAGCATATGTATAATATTTACACCTTTAGGTGACCCAGGCCCGGAGGTAGAACAACCGGGTCAAGTTTAGTTACAATCAAAATTTGTTTGTGCAACGAGAGTATTTTTCTATCATCAAAAAAGGTCACTATTTTCCGCTTCCGAGGCTCTAACATTTGTTTCACTGATTAATTTAAAATTCCCTGAATATTCCATTTTGAAGGTTACACGTGTTGAGATGATGTGGAGCGTGATTTTCAGGCAAATCTGTGAAACGGACGAGGAGGAGTCGCCTTTCCAAACAACATGTTGTGAAAATGATTGGTTTTCATTTTCCATTTGCAATGAAATTTATGGGCTTCTGTTTGTCAGAGGGCTTAGCCATAATAACATTTTTTCCATGTCTTGACTTGTGGAACATGGTGTTCCAAATTAGATGGTTCTACGGACAATTTTGACCTCGAACCCCTCCCACTAGGCATTTTGTAAATTGGCTGTTGTTAGGTGGCGGCTATGAGCACCAATTTCAAAATTTGTACTTTCAAATGACCTAGGACCCAAGAGTTGAACCATGATTTCAAGTTCGTGCAAATCAGACTTTGTTTGTGAACGGAAGCAATTTTCTATTGTCAAAAAACTGAAAAAAAAAACACGCATTTTTTGGCGCTCCGCTGCCCCTCCCAAACAACGTTTCACTGATAAAAAATTCCCTGAAATCAGTTTTGATGGTACATGTGGTTGAGTTGATGTGGAGCGGATTTCGTGGCGAATCGGCTGAAACGGGTTCCGTGGCTGGTTTGATGTTTGTGTGAGGTGTACATTTGCAATGAATGTTGAGCGTTTTTTTGTCGTCGCCACGCAACAGGGTAAAAAATAAGCCTTGGACCCCATTGACTTTTTGAAATCAAAGGGCAAACAGATTTTTTGTGCAAAATGTCAAACATTTTGAAAAAAAATAAAATTTGAAAATGCCAATCTAAAAACTTTGAAAAATAGTTTGTAGGGGCGTAATGTGTCAATTTGAATCATTTACTTTCAAATGACCTGACCCTTGCGTTGAACAATGTATTAAGTTTTGTGCTAATCGGACTTTGTATGTGCAATGGGAGCAAATGTTTAATGTTGTCTAAAACGGCCAAAAAAAAAGGTCACATTTGCCGCTCCATGCTCGAACAATGTTCACTGATCAAAAATCCCTGAGGTCATTTTGAAGGTTACATGTGTTGAGATGATGTGGACGATTTTGAGGCGGAATCGGTGAAACGGTCCCCGAGGGCAGGTGTCGCTTTCCAACCGACATGATAAAAACTTTCGCTGTTCATTTTCTCATTTTTGCAGTGAAAATCATGGGCTTCCTGTTTGTCGGGGGGGCGGAGAGCCATAATAATATTTTTTTTTCTTGTCTGACTTAGGAATATGTGTACTAAGTTGATGGCTCTAAAAACTTGACCTCGAAAAGTCCCATGTGGGTATTATTTTGGCTGTTGAGGTGGCGCTGTTCGGGCATTTTTTGAAGTCCCCATATTTAGTATAAAACTATATAGCAAATTTTTCGCCAGGTTCTTCATTTTGGGGCCAAAATTTTACAAACTTTTTCTTGCGATATTCAGCGGGGTCCAATTAAGGACTCAATGTGCAGAAGATAAAAAGAAAGATAAGTAATATTAAAGCCGCAGCGGCGTCATACGGCCTCGACGCACAGCGCGACCCACTGCACCGGCGCGCAACTTCCCCGCACGCGCGCAACACCCCGGGCCAACGTCAGCCCCGCACAAATCACCCCGCCCTAACCACGCCGTCACGTATCACACCAAGCCGCTACGCGCCGCTCCACAACGGCCTGCACTACGCTGCCACCACAGCGTACCACGCAGCACCGCGCAAAAGGAGGGTGGCACAGCGTGGGTGTGATGACTTTTTCCGTACTAGCCATAGAAGAATGTTAGTCAAATAGTAATGGAATTTGATAAGTTGAGCTGGTTTGGTCCTACCCATGTAAACTTCCCCTTTGCTTCAGCTCTGTAGGGGGCGCTAATGGGCCAATTTCAAATATTGCACTTTCACCTGACCTAAACCCTGGAGTTGAAACACTGGTTTAAAGTTTTGTGCATTTAGACTTTGTTTGTGCAATACAGGAGCAAATTAATGTGATCAAAAACGGCCCAAAAAAACATCTCACATTTTGCCGCCCTCCCCGCGGCTCAAAAACGTTTCAGCTGATACAATTCCCTGAAGTCATTTTGAAGGTAAATGGGTTGGGAGATGATTGGAAACAATTTTGAGGCATATCGGTTGAAAACGGACCACGAGGGGTGGAGTCGCTTTCCAACCGAGTGTATGAAAATATGATTGGTTTTCATTTTTCCCATTTTGAATGAAAATTTATGGGCTTTCTGTTTGTCAGAGGGCTTATCATGATAACATTTTTTTTTTTTTCCATGGTCTAGACTTGAGGAACAGGTTTTCAAATTACATGTTTCTATGACAATTTTGACCTCGAACCCTCCCATAGGATTTTTCAAATTGGCTGTTGTAGGTGGCGCTATAGGAGCCATTTCTAAATTTTAACTTTCAAGTGACCTAGCCCACGAGGTGAACCATGGATTCAATGTTTTGTGCAAAATCAGACTTAGTTTGTGCAAACGGTTGGCAATGTTTCTATTGTCAACAAATGAAAAAAAAAATACGCCACTTTTTGGGCGCTCCGCTGCTCAAACAACGTTTCCTCTGATTTAAATTCCTGGAAGTCATTTTGATGGTACATGTTGTTGAATGATGTGGAGTGATTTTTGAGGCGATTCGGTGAAATGGCCGAGGCTGGTTTGATGTTTGTGTGGGTGATACATTTGCAAAATGAATGGGGGCGCATTTGTCGTCGCCCCGGCAACAAACCAGGGTTACAAAATAAGGCTTGGGACCCTATTGAGTTTTTGAATTAGAGGGCCCTAAAATAAAAAGATGTATGTGGCAAAATTTCAAACATTTTGAATAAAATAAAATCTGAAATTGCCTATCTAATATTTGAAATAGTCTGTTAGGGGCGCTAACGTGGTCAATTGAATAATTTCACTTTCACATTGATCCTAGACCCTAGGAGCTTGAACAAGTATTAAAGTTTTGTGCAAATCAGATCTTTGTTTGTGCATACGGGGAAGCAAATTTAAATGTTGTCAAAATCGGCCAAAAAAGGTCAATTTTGCCGCTCCGTCTGCTCGAACTATGTTTCACTGATCAAATCTCTGAGGTCATTTTGAAGGTACATGTGTTTGGAGATGATGTTGGGGCGATTTTGAGGCGACATCGGTGAAACGGCCGAGGACGGAGTCGCTTTACCACACCGACATGTATGATAAACTTTTGCTGTTCATTTTGCCATTTGCAGTGAAATTTTATGGGCTTCCTGTTTTGTCAGAGGGCGGGGCCATAGTAATATTTTTTCTTGTCTTGATTGAGGAAACATGTGATACGAATCTCATATTTTACGGACAAACTTGACCTCCGTTAAAAAAGAGTCCACTAGGGGTATTTCATTTTGGGCTGTTGTAGGTGGCGCTGTTCATGTCATTTGTTGAGTCCCATAAAATTAAACACATAAATATCAAATTTTTCGCCCAGGTCATGATTTTTGGGCAAAATTAACAACTTTTAATGCATGTTCTGGGGGTCAAATTTAAGGCTCAACGTGCAGAAGAAAAAAGAAAAGAAAGAAATAATTAACAGCCCGCAAGCGGCGTCGAACGGCCCTCGCCGCACCCGCGCAAACTCCGCTGACCGCGGCACTCCCCGCACCACGTCCGCCCAGACCAAGCGGCAACGCGACGCCGCTCCACAAAAGCCCGGCACTACGCCGCACCACACCGTACCACGCAGCACACACGGCTAAAAGGACGGGTTAGCACCGCAGTCTCGTGTGATGAATTTGTTTCCGTAGCCATAGAAGAATGTTAGTCAAATTGTCATGACTATGTAGTAGAGCTGTTTGGCTCCCCATGTAAACTTGAACAGTCTGTAGGGGCGCATAAGGGCCGAATTTCCAATATTTCACTTTAAACCTGATCCTAAACCCTGGAAATTGAACAATGGATGAATGTTTTGTGCAATTCAGACCTTTGTTTGTGCAAACAGGAGCAAAAATTATTGTTGTCAAAAGGAGCCAAAAACAACCCTTACTTTTTGCCGCCTCCGCTGCTCAAACTGCGTTTCACGGATCAAAATTCCCTGAAGTCATTTTGAAGGTACATGTGTTGAGATGATGTTGGAGCGATTTTGAGGCGAATTCGGTGTGAAAACAGCGAGGCTGGTTGGATGTTTGTGTTGGGTTGTACTTTGCAATGAATGGGAGCGTTTCGCGTCGCCACTGGCAAACAGGGGTAAAAAATAAACCTTGGACCCAATTGACTTTTGAATCAAGAGGGCAAAAACAGATTTATGGTGCAAAAATTTCAAACATTTTTGAAACAACTAAATTTGAAAATGCCCATCTAAAACTTTGTGAAATAGTCTGTAGGGGGCGCTAATGTGTCAATTTTGAACTTAAATTCACTTTTAAAACGACCTAGACCCTAGAGTTGAACAAATGGGGTTTTTTTTATTGTTTTTTGCACATCAGACTTTGTATGTGCAAACGGGAGCACAATTTAATTTGTTGTCAAAAAAACGGCCATAAAAGTCACATTGGCCGCTCCGCCGGCGCAAACAATGTTCACTGATCAAAAAATCCCCTGGAGGTCATTTTGAAGGTACACTGTGTTTGAGATGATGTGGAGCGATTTTGAGCGTATCGGTTGAAACGGCCGACCGAGGAGGTAGTCGCTTTCCAACCGACATGTATGAATTACTTTTGCTGTTCATTTTTCGCCATTTTGCAGTGAAAATTTATGGGCTTCTGTTTGTCGAGAGGCGGTGCCTATAATAATTA